TGTCACCCCACAGCCTGAAGATGGTGTCATGAGGGCTTCTCAGGTGCCAGCTGGTTGCTGCCGCCCGAGATACCACTCCTCGGCCTCTCGAGGCCTGGCTGCCTCGGCCCAGTGCTCCCTCCTCAGACTTCCCCCTGCCGAGCCGAGCCGAGCCGAGCCTCATGTTGGTACTCAGCCTGTCCCAGTCTCCCAAACAGCGCGCAGTACTACCCCAGACCGCTGCCCGGGAGGCTGGGGACAGTGGCTTTGGGGTTGGCGCCCCGACTCATGTATAAAGCAGGCACTCCAGAAGTTAGGTGTCTTACACATGGAAAAGCTGGAAATACATTAAGAGGTGAACACAGTATCTATTAATAGCAAGCTCTCCCCTGCGGCCTTTTGTGCTGTCTCCCATTAGTCCCCAAAGCTTAGATTTCAGAGCACGTTGTACACTGACACTCAAGAAAGGACTCTGGCTGCCTCCTGGGACCAGCGGAGCGCAGGGGACGGCAAGCGGGCATTTCTGCCGGGTCCTGCTCGGGGTCCAGCCGAAGCCTTGCTGCCGGGCGACTCGGTGGCCAACTTGGCCAGGGTAGAGAAGCCGGTTTCCGCCTTAACCCGCAGCAGAGACTTGTGTAGGGCGAGGCTCCGCGGATTGTTCTGCAAGCGCTTTCTCTCTGCTCAGCCTTGGGAAACAGTGCTCTTCGGCAGCATCACTGGAAACCTCATCACGAGCTGGGCACCATCACCAAGTTCTTACCTAAGATGCAAAGAGACGCCCCACTTTACTGTGAACAGCACCTCCTTAAGTGGTAGTGCTGAGGCGGGGGGAGAGGGCTGCGCAGATGCCGCGAGGCGAAGAAGGATCCCGCCTTCTCCTTGAATGCGCCAGGCAGTGGGAAGATGGCGTCAGCCCCACAGGGAGCCTGCTCTGGCCTAGTGACAGCGCTGTCAGTTTAAGCAAGATGGGCAGTGTGCAGATTTTCGGGACACTCTCCTTAATGCTGCTTATCTGTGGTAAGCTGGTTCGCTATGACAATAGCAAGAGTGAAGATTTTGGCAGACAGATTAGAGAGAGAATGCTGTGGAATGGGAACCTGATAAACTAGAACTTCAAGTGAATTCCACGTAAATTCCTGCTGCTCTTTCAGATTTTTTTATTTTAGGAAAAAATGGTAAAACAAAAATTCATACCAAAATCATAGGAGAATGACCTTAGTTAATACATTACATGTTACCATCTTTAAAGTCACTGCTCCGGGTACAGGACATGAGCATAGAAACTTCTCCAGGGGACATTAGCACAGAGTACCCTTAAATGACATTATATTATTGAAACTGCCTCTGCCTCTCTGTCTCTCCCTCTGTGTCTGTCTCTATGTCTGTCTGTCCCTCTCTCTCTGCCTCTGTCTCTGCCTGTGTCTGCTTCTGTCTCTCCCTCTGTGTCCCCCCCCTCTCACTCTCTCTGCCTCTCTCTCGCTCTCTCTGCCTCACTCTCTCTCACTCTCTCTATCTCTCTCTCTCTCTCGCTCTCTCTGCCTCTCTCTCTCTCTCGCTCTCTCTATCTCTCTCTCTCTCGCTCTCTCTGCCTCTCTCTCTCTCGCTCTCTCTCTGCCTCTCTCTCGCTCTCTCTCTCGCTCTATCTCTCTCTCTTTCTCGCTCTCTTGCTCTCTCTGCCTCTCTCTCTCTGCCTCTCTCTCTCGCTCTCTCTCGCTCTCTCTGCCTCTCTCTCTCTCTGCCTCTCTCTCTCTCTGCCTCTCTCGCTCTCTGCCTCTCTCGCTCTCTCTCTCTGCCTCTCTCACACTCTCTCTGCCTCTCTCGCTCTCTGCCTCTCTCTCGCTCTCGCTCTCTCTATCTCTCTCTCTCTGCCTCTCTCTCACTCTTTCTGCCTCTCTCGCTCTCTCTCTGCCTCTCTCACGCTCTCTCTGCCTCTCTCTCTCTCTCTCTCTCTCTCTCTCTCTCTCTCTCTCTCTCTCTCTGGCATACGCTTCCGTGCACTGGCTGTGGTGCTGCATGCCACGAGACCTCTAGCTCTCCACTTACCCTGGGTGACTCTATTTGGTGGCCTTTTCTGGAAGAAAAATGCACTTGGTCTTCTGCACTCGGGGCAGATCTAATGGCCTTCAGGCTCCTACAGCTGGACGCTGAAGCAGCTGCTTCACAGATGAACAACCAGCAGTCCAGCCCTGTCTGCTTGGATCGCTGCACCAACCCTACCTTCCCACGACCCAGCCCTCACCCGGAATCCATCACCAGTGCATTAAACAGCAGAGACTGCGCTGTGGCTCTGGCATCGGTGGAAGGCACTTGGTCCTGCAGCTCTGATTCCTGCATCCAATCAAGGG